TGTTGTTGTTGTTGTTGTTGTTGTGCAGGTCGATAGCGTGGAGCACGGCTATGGCGCCCAGGTGGTTGTGGTTCTGGTTGTTGTTGCTGTTGTTGTTATTGTTGTTGTTCTTGTTGTTGTTGTTGTTGTTGTTGTTGTTGTTGTTGTGTTTGTTGTGCAGGTCGACAGCGTCGAGCACAGCTATGGCGCCTAGGTAAGTACCGCTGACGCAGGTATGGCCTCCGCCCCTCTTCTTCTTCTTCGACAGCGTGGAGCACGGCTATGGCGCCCAGGGAAGTTCCGCTGCCGCAGGTATGGCCTCCGCCCCTCTTCTTCTTCTTCTTCTTCTTCATGTGGTTGTTGCTGTTGTTGTTGTATTTGTTATTGTTGTTCTGCAGGTCGCCAGTCTGGAGCACGGCTATGGCGCCCAGTTAAGTACCGCTGACGCAGGAATGTGTTGTTGTTGTTGTTGTTGTTGTTGTTGTTGTGCAGGTCGCCAGTATGGAGCACGGCTATGGCGCCCAGCTAAGTACCTCAGACGCAGGTATGGCCTCCGCCCCTCTTCTTCTTCTTCTTCTTCATGTGGTTGTGGCTGTTGTTGTTGTTGTTGTTGTTCAGGTCGCCAGTGTGGAGCACGGCTATGGTGCCCAGTTAAGTACCGCTGACGCAGGGATGTGTTGTTGTTGTTGTTGTTGTGCAGGTCGCCAGTGTGGAGCACGGCTATGGCGCCCAAATAATTACCGCTGACGCAGGTATGGCCCCCGCCCCTCTTCTTCTTCTTCTTCTTCTTCATGTGGTTGTGGTTGTTGTTGTTGTTGTTGTTGTTGTTGTTGTTCAGGTCGCCATTGTGGAGCACGGCTATGGCGCCCAGTTAAGTTCCGCTGACGCAGGTATGTTTTGTTGTTGTTGTTGTTGTACAGGTCGCCAGTGTGGATGTACAGGTTGCCAGTGTGGAGCATGGCTATGGCGCCCAGTTAAGTACGGCTGATGCAGGTATGGCCTCCACCCCTCTTCTTCTTCGTCTTTTTCTTCTTCTTCTTCTTCTTCTTCTTCTTCTTCTTCTTCTTCTTCTTCTTCTTCTTCCTCTTCTTCAGGTCGCCAGTGTGGAGTGCAGCTATAGCGCCCAGTTAAGTTCCGCTGACGCAGGTATGTGTTTTTGTTGTTGTTGTTGTACAGGTCNTGTGTTTTTGTTGTTGTTGTTGTACAGGTCGCCAGTGTAGAGCACGGCTATGGCGCCCAGTTAAGTACGGCTGATGCAGGTATGACCTCCGCCCCTCTTCTTCTTCTTCTTCTTCTTCTTCTTCCTCTTCCTCTTCTTCTTCTTCTTCTTCCCTACTAGGAAGTAATGGAATAACAAATCCTGCAAAGATGGGAAATAATTCAATAATACTTCACCAAGGCAATTGATTCATAATGAAAAATATATCTATTTAAAATTAAGAACATTGAAGAAAAGAATGTTCTTAAAAATCTTTGATTCATTTAAATTTTTGAAAAATATGTTCTTCTTCTTCTTCTTCTTCTTCTTCTTCCCTGCTAGGAAGTAATGGAATAACAATTCCTGCAAAGATGGGAAATAATACAATAATACTTAACCAAAGCAATTGATTCATAATGAAAAATATATCTATTTAAAATAAAGACTATTGAAGAAAAGAATATTCTTAAAAATATATGATTCATTCAATGTAAAAAAAAATATGTACTTCTTCTTCTTCTTCTTCTTCTTCTTCTTCTTCTTCTTCTTCGTCTTCGTCTTCTTCGTCTTCGCTAGTGTGGAGTGCAGCTATGGCGCCTAGTTAAGTACCGCTGACGCAGGTATGTGTTGTTGTTGTTGTTGTTGTACAGGTCGCCAGTGTGGAGCACGGCTATGGCGCCCAGTTAAGTAGAGCCAATGCTCTGGCGGGGTTTGCCAGAGCCACCGGCTCGTTCGGAGCAGCGTTGAAGACGCTGTCCGAGCAGCTGGTTAAGATAGGGAGTCGAAAAAAAGATTATGTGCGAATGCCAGTATACGGTGCAGAAGTTACCAGGGGGGACAGCGGTGACACATAAGAGTAGACGGGGAGAAGCCCTAGTACAGGTGCACAGTACGAGGCGGTACACGATACGGGCGGGAGACGAAGTGTGAGACAGGAGGAGGGGGGAGGGAGGGGGGAGCCTCGGTCCCGATGCGGGGTACCGGGCTGTACATTAGGCAGGGGTGGGCAGCAAGGGGAGAGACAACGGTGGTGGGAGTAGAGCCATGCTATAGGAGGTAGGTAGCAAAAAAAATCCCGGGGGGTGAGCCGGGTTGTACACTAGTTAGGGAGGGTGAGAGAGGGGGCGGGGTAATCCAGAACCCAGGTTCCCAGCATTGGGGATTGGGGTGTACAATAGAACAGGTCCAGACAGCAGCAGCAGCCCGAGTTAGTTACAGCAGGGTGCGGTGGGAGAGCGGGAAGAGGTACGCGACGCGTAGTAGTAGGCTAGATACTAGGTGAGTCGGTGGACGCGGGTGCGAGGGACAATAGGATGAGGTCACCGGGGCCAGCAGAGTCGGAACCGGGTCGCTGGAGGGTCGTAACAGACTGGCTGGTACACGCACGAGAGGCAGGCCCGGAGTAGTGGAAGATTACGGCCCAGGCGGCCGATTTCGCAACGTAGGCCCTACCGCAGACCGGTGCACATGCAGCTCATGTGACGTTGGCGGGAAGAAGAGGCTTGCGTACGTGCACGCCAGGTTGGTTGCAAGCGAGCCAAGTCGGCGCCCGTCCAGTCAGTTGCAGACGTGGAGAGTGTGTCAGTATAACTCCGGAGGGCAAGGCCAGAAAGGCCCTCTTTGCTCTGGGTGGTATGATACGGTGGATGTGGGAGAGAGGTTGCCCCTTGAGAAGTCCTGGTGCGCAGCCAGGCGAAACGCGTTGGGGAATGTGCGCGTTTGAGCACAAGTCCGTGCAGGAGCTTCATTGCTTATCGTTGCAGACATGGACGCATAGCGATTGGCCTGGCTGTTTCAGTTCTTGAACGCTTGACAACCATACGAGCAGTAGTCCTTGTCTTGGTGGTTGCGCCGACTACGGACGTTCTAGCGAGTTTGTAGAGTGGATGATACGAGCGAAGAGAGAGGGGAAAGGGGGAGAGAACGAGAAGGAAGTGAGAGTGTCGTAGGTAGTCGACAGGGTAGACGTGAGAGAGGAGGAGGAGGGAGCGCAAGACAAGGAGAAGGTAGGAGTGGAAGGGGGAAATAAAGACCTGGAAAGGTGGCTAGAGTCGCTGGCGGTGGAAAACGGAGCTTTAATGCGTAGGTGGGGAAGTCGGTTTATCCTGTAGTCCGACACACTAGCGAGCGGCGATGATCGCAACTGCAGCCTGTCCTCGTGGGATGATCGAGGTCGAGTACGACGTATAGACAGATCGACGAAGTGAAGTGATCACGAATGGTAAGAGGTAGTTAGAAGAGTGGGTGACACGAGCGAAGAGAGGTGAGAGAAGGGGGCGCGGGAACAGGAAGAAGGTGAGAGCGTAGGAGCAAGGGGACGACAGGGTGGACGTGTGAGAGGTGGGGAGGAAACGCAAGACGAGGAGAAGGGAGGAGCGAGATGGGAGAGATACAAGCGAGTGAGTAGAGCAGATCGACGAAGTGGACGTGTGAGAGGTGGGGAGGAAACGCAAGACGAGGGGAAGGGAGGAGCAAGATGGGAGAGATACAAGCGAGTTAGTTGAGTGGGGGATACGGGCGAAGGAAAGGAGGCAGCTACGATTGACTACGCCGTCGGTACACTAGGTGGTGAAGTTGGATTATCAGCGCATCCAGCACACTAACCAGCGGCGAATCACGCCTGGAGGTGCGGAGCAACACGACAGCTAGTCCTCGTGGGGGCGATCGAGGCCGAGCACGACATGATAACAGACCGAAGAGGTGAAATGGCCATGAGTGGTAAGTGGTAGCTCGAAGACGTAGGTTATGCGAGAGTAGAGAGGGAGAGAAGAAAGGGGGGTGAGTTAGTAGAGTGAGGGATACGAGCGAAGAAAGATGTGGGAAAAAAGAGCGGACGTGGGCAGCTACGATCGACTACGCAGTAGGTACGCTAGGTGGTGAAGTCGGATTATCAGCGCATCTAGCACACGAACCAGCGGCGAAGTTCACGCCCGGAGGTGCGGGCCAACACGGCAGCTAGTCATCGTGGGGTGATTGAGGCTAAGCACGACATGATAACAGATCGACGAGGAGAAATGGCCATGAACGGTAAGCGGTAGCTCGAAGACGCAGGTGACACGAGCGAAGAGAGGGAGGGAAGAAGGCGGGCGAGAACGAGAAGAATGTGATAGCGAAGAAGCAGGGAGTTGGCAGGGTGGACGTGAGAGAGAGGGAGGAGGGAACGCAAGACGAGGAGAGAGGAGAGGAGCGAGGGGGAGAAGGAGAGGCCCGGGAGGGGGTATGGGTGGACAGTGGTAATGAGGTGTCGGGAAGTGGCGGAAGTAGTGAGTGAGTGGAGAGAGCGAGCGGTTATGACGAGGGGCGGAGTGTGGAGAGCAGGGTGACAGGTGGCGAGAAGCTTTGGTAGGAGAGAGAAAGCGGCGTATTTGAGACAGGGGGAACAAAGTGGTTAAAGACTTGAGGTATGCGTCGAGCTGACGAGCTCGAAGGAGAGCGTAGTGAGAGAGAGAGAGAGAGGGGGGTGGCTAAGTGAAGGTAACCGCTTTGTTCAACGAGCTCGGAGACGGAGGGGGCAAGTCGTACCGACGAACGTGGAGGAGGTAAGTGGGGAAGAGAGGCTGAGAGGTATGCAATCGAGCAGACCAGCGAACTAGAGGAGTGGGATAGTCGACTGGTGGCGAGGGAAACGGAAGAAGGTAACGGGTAGGAGAGATCGAAAGAGCTAACCGACTGCGCCAGGGTAGCTGACGAGAAGAGGTAGGCAGACAACACTGAACGGATAACCAGACGAGTGACAGTAAGGGGATCGATCATGTACCCCCCGCAGGCTGCACCGAGTCAATTTCAGACAAGTTACGCTGGGACTGCACACGCACCTGGCCCATCTTCTCCCCCTCCATCTCCCCCACCTGCTGGACCAGGGGGACCATGCTACAACTGTGGAGAGTATGGACACTACGCTCGAGACTGTCCGCATAAGCAGAATGGGAGGAACTGGCAGAACCAGAGTCGGGGAAGCTATGGACCAGGGAGCTACGGGCAGGGGACCTACAACCAGCCGAGGAGAAATGAAGAGGAGGAGCGTATCAACAGGTTACTTGCGTTTGTTGAGAACCAGCAGCTGGAAGCTGCGGAGAGAAAGAAGGCTGAGCAAGAGAAGAAGAGGCAGGAAGAAGAAAGGCTGAGGATGGAAGAAGCGAAGCAGAGAGAGGAAGCTGAGAAAAGACGGGCGCAGGCAATTATGGAAGCATCTGCAGCGCAAGCGTTCGCCAAGCAAATGGCGGCCCTGGAGGAGAAAATTAAGGGCCATGTACATTCCACACTCACTGCGTCAGAGGAGAAGAACGCGAAGCTGCATGACAGCCTACGGCGTTTCCTGGAACGCACAGAGGGAGATACACCGGGAAGGCCAAGGGCCGATCCGTACCCAAACCCAAGAAGGAGGCTTGACTTGGAAGAATACGAGCGGGAGGCTGACGCTGAAGAAAGGAATGCAGCCGCGCCGACCACCAGAAAGCGGACCGTGGTTAACAGGAGAGGGAAGGAGCCAGCGAATGTGGAAGCAAAGAAGAAGGGAGCAGTGGCGTCGTGCTCCAAAAACGGGGTGATTGATTTTGTCCTCGAACTGCGTGAGAGCTTGCAGGCGAAGCAGGCACCAGAACTTAAGCACATGTGTAAAGTGAAAATTATCAGATGGGTGTCGAAGAGTCAAGTGATCAAGGACCTGGCAGCAGTAGAGGCGAGAGTGGCGTATGATGGGTGGCTGACAGGAGCGGACAGTGATGGAAGCAGGAAGGATGAGAGGGGGTCGGGGGAGGGTGCAACACCTCACGCGAATTGACGGTGTGTTCCCCCAGCGCGGTCCCTTTGGGACAAGCTCCTGCTATATATGGGGCTCCGAGACTGCGTTTGGGGGGCATATGGTTTGACGAATTTCAGGATAAGCATTGAGCAGATGCTCATTGCAGTTTTTCTCCTGCTGGTAATGAGCGGGGTGGCCCTGTGGGCCAGGAAGGTGCTGACGGTGACCCCTACAGGTCATGATTTTTTCGACCTCAAGGGACCAGCAGTCTACTGCCTGGTGTCGCCGTGGTGTAAGAGGATGTACATAGGGCAAACGCTACGGGGAGCGGGTGAGAGGAGGTGGGAGCACATCAGGTGTACAGAGTCGGGCAATAACGGACACGCCCCCAAGCTGTATTCTTTTCTGAAGATCTTTGGCTGGCAGAAATATCTGATCCTCCCGATAGCAACGGGAACTGGGGATGGGTTGCAAGTGCTGGAAAAGACCATCATCCGCAGGTTTTCCCCGGCGCTGAATGTAGTCGGACGAAGTACAGGGACGAAACGAAGAGCCAGACCCGGTAAGAAGGAGAGACGGAAGGCGGGAGCACCCATACCAGTACACAGGAGAGGGCTGTTGTCCTTCACACTAGCGGGGCAGGTAAGGCGGTTCTATAGCCTGACAGAGATCTTGGAGGACACAATTGCAGCAGGGACGAAAGCGGTGGAGCTCACGTCTTCCGGAGGGGAGGTGTGGGGTGAAAAGTGGTCCGTAGTCCGAAGGAAATTCGGGACGTCGACTGTCAGTTCTGGCGAGGAAAAAATCTCGTTAGGAAGGTCCAAGCGGCTCCTAGAACAGGGATGTACCTTCAAGGTAGCACCTGTTGTGAAGACCGAGAGTGCAAGGAGCAGAGGAAAAGGCTATCTTAGGCTGCTACTGGAAATGCCAAGGAAGCAGGCAGAACTTAAGAGCTTTGATGTCACAAAGTTGGTCTTTTTGTACCGGTGTGCTAGAGAGTTCAGGACCAAGACTACAAGAAGAACCCTGAAAGAGAAGATAGTCGCAGTGATCAGAAGGAAGACGGGGGTGAATATAAGATTGAAGGTCTGAGTGGGAGTGAAGTACAGCCACCAGCTGAGGAAGAGGAAGATCCACGACACAGTGGTGATGTGTGTGGAGAAGAGCAAGATCCACCCGGTGTTGAAGACGGTGCTCCGACGCCGAGTAAGGGTGGTATGGAAGAAGAACAAGACGGTTGAGCAGGTCTTAGCCAACCACCGGGAAGCAGCAAGGGAAGCGACAGCACAATGTACATGCAGCCAGGAACAGATGCCGAGAGTAGATGGGCATGTGCTAGCGCGGATTGCGCAATGCTCAGTGGACCCCCCGTTTTTGCACAACGGGAAGAACATCCTGCAGGGTGATATAGGCACGAGGCCGGCAGAAGTGCAGCGGATGGTAGGACGGTCTTTGGAGGCAGTTGTGCGGAGGGATCTGTACCAAGTAGCGGATCCAAGCCTTTTTCAGGAGATCGTGTCGGACCATGCTGTGGCTAGGCCAGCATGCTCGGAGAAGCAGGCAAGGGAAGTAGCGGCGAAGTTGAGCCACCTGGTAGTAGTCCCAGGTGACCTGGTGGTCATGTGCCCCTCAACTTACCAACACGGCCTCCAGATGATGTTCAACTTTAACGTCGCGTACCAGCAAGTTACGGGGAGGACAGACAAGGAAGTGCTGGCGCAAGTGAGAAAGGAGTTCAAAAGACTAGACCTTGACAAGATAGGAGCCTGGAACCCAGCGGCCAAGATTGGGCAAGCATACGTCCTGCCGAAACATAAAGATTTGACGAGGTGGAGGCCTATAGCACCAGCCCATGCAGAGGGATCTAAGACAGCGGGGAGGAGGCTAGCGCGTGCGCTGAACTTCCTACTCGAGAAAGTCCCCAAGGCCAAGCACTTCAACCTGAAGGCCACGGCGATGTTGAAGCAGAATTTGGAGGCGGCAGGGAGAAGACTTAGTGTTTATGGAGACAAGTCGATGGCCCTAATGGCGAGCTACGACATCAAGGAGATGTTCACGTCGTTGCCACACCAAGAGATAGCACGCGCCGTAGAGTGGCTGCTACAGCAGTGGGAGTTGAGAGGAGTAGTCAAACTGAGCCTGAGTAGACGAGGGAGCGTGGTGATCCTCAACAGGAGGAGCCCGGGACCAGGCTATGTTACGATCAAGTTCTCCCAGATCCGGCAGATGGTTAGCTACGAGCTAGAAAACACGTACATTTCGTGTAGGAGAATGATTCTTAAACAGGTTGTAGGGATCCCCATGGGGAAGAACTCCAGCCCCTCACTAGCGTGTGTATTGTGCGCAAAACATGAGGTGGACTTTATGAACTCGCTAGGAGCCGACCAGAAGCTGGTACACGGGGTCAGGTTGGTAGACGACGTCACTTTGGCTGTGGCATGCAACATGGATGATTATCGGAGTGTGACGACAACGAGAGAAATATCTCAGAGGTTTGAGGGGACCTACGGGGAGCAGCTTATGCTGGTGAGGACAGATGACTGCTCCAACTCTTGGGACTTTTTGGGGACCAGAGTTGCAGCGTTACCAGGCCCGATTACGTTTGTTATCCGTCCTAGGCATAAGAATGAAAGGGCTGCGGTAGAAGGTCCCCTGGATTTCAGATGCTTCCAAGACTACGCATCGTATTCAGACAAACGAGCGAAGGCTGGTACGGTGATTGGTGTGTTTCACAGAGTCAAGAATCATGTGAGTGACCCAACAACAGGGGTCCCAGCGACGCTCTCCATCAGTATAGAACTGGGGCGCCGGGGGTTTCCCCCGGCGCTCTTTTCCAATGCTCTGGCGGGGTTTGCCAGAGCCACCGGCTCGTTCGGAGCAGCGTTGAAGACGCTGTCCGAGCAGCTGGTTAAGATAGGGAGGGGAAAAAAAGATGATGTGCGATGCCAGTATACGGTGCAGAAGTTACCAGGGGGGACAGCGGTGACACATAAGAGTAGACGGGGAGAAGCCCTGGTACAGGTGCACAGTACGAGGCGGTACACGATACGGGCGGGAGACAAAGTGTGAGACGGGAGGAGGGGGGAGGGAGGGGGGAGGGAGGGGGGAGCCCCGGTCCTGATTCGGGGTACCAGGCTGTACATTAGGCAGGGGTGGGCAGGAAGGGGAGAGACAACGGTGGTAGGAGTAGAGCCATGCTATAGGAGGTAGGTAGCAAAAAAAAACCCGGGGGGCGAGCCGGGTTGTACACTAGTTAGGGAGGGTGAGAGAGGGGGCAGGGTAATCCAGAACCCAGGTTCCCAGCATTGGGGATTGGGATGTACAATAGAACAGGTCCAGACAGCAGCAGCAGCCCGAGTTAGTTACAGCAGGGTGCGGTGGGAAAGCAGGAAGAGGTACGTGACGCGTAGTAGTAGGCTAGATACCGGGTGAGTCGGTGGACGCGGGTGCAAGGGACAATAGGATGAGGTCACCGGGGCCAGCAGAGTCGGAACCGGGTCGCTGGAGGGTCGTAACAGACTGGCTGGTACACGCACGAGAGGCAGG